TGGCACCAGCAATGCTCCAGCACTGAGGTGGGGGCTTCTGCCAGAGCCCCTGGAATGCTCCATGGAGCCCCCACAGGCCCCAGCTCCTCCCCACACACACTCACCCCATGGTGCCACCCAAGGTGTCCCCCTGTGACAGTGCCACCCCTAGTGCCACCCGTAATTCCACCCACAGCATCCCCCCACCACTGCTGCCCACCCCACAGTGCCAGCCGCCCCATGGCATCCCCCCTAATGTCCCACCACCCTGCCCAACCTGCAGACAGCTCCCATCCCCATTGTCACCCCATGCATCCCCCAGCATGCTGCCCACCCTACAAAGCCATCCCCCCTGTCCCCCCCGTGTCCCCTTGTCCCCTGGCTGACCATGACGACGTTGGCAAGGTGAGCAGAGCAGAGGGCGTAGACCCCCCCCGAGCCCCCTACCAGGGGCGCCCTCATGTCCGTGATGGAGACGGTGAGGGAGCCTGGGGGCACAGACAGGGCTCAGCATGGGGCCTCGCCCCCATAGTATTAATTAATTAGTGCCTACATTAATTAATTACAGCCTGCATTGCCCCCTAGCCCCCAGCCAAGTGATGCTGGCACTGCCAGCAGAGCCCAGCGTCCCCACCAAACTCAGAGTGCCCCTCAGAGGAGAGTGCCCCTCCCCGTGCCCTCCCCAGGCTGGTGACAGGGATGGACAGGGGGACAGGGGGATGGGGACAGGACAGTGCCCGCCAGGGCAGCACCCACCTGCCAGGACCCCGGCCAGGTAGAGGAAGCTGATGCGCAGGATGCCGTGCACCATCTCCAGGGGCACCCCGATCATCAGCTGCAGGAGGGCGTTGAACCCCAGCTGCTCCAGCCTGCCGGGCACAGGAGGGGACAGGGGGAGGGCTCAGCCTGTGCAGCCCCAGGTGTCCCCATGTCCCCTCCCCAGGCAGGACCTACCCCACGTGCATGAACATGTAGGTGAGGAAGCGCCAGGCGCGGGCGCGGTGCCCGGGGTGATAGACCAGGGGGCTCTTCATGTACTCGGGGTGGTAGGTCTGCAGCACCCACTTGTTCAGCCGGGCCCCGTAGCACAGGAACACGATGATCTGGGACAAACCCCGTGGCTGTCACCCCCCTGCACCCCATATCTGAGCCCCATTGGGTGCCACAGCTGGGGTCACCCATGCCCACTGCCCTGGGTGTGGGTCACACATGTGGGCACAAGGACAGCACAAACAGGGTCCTCCATCCCTTCACCCAGGGTGAGTCCCCCAGAGGCACCAGGACATCACAGCTGGGGTCACCCATTCCTTCTACCCTGGATCTGAGCCCCTCCATG